AAAGATAAAAAGCTCTGAAAAACTAAGAGCACAGCCAATCTTCTTTTCATTTAAAAAGACAAGCAAACTGCGAAGCAGAACTTAAATGACCAAAAATCAAGCAAAACCTTTATTCAAAGAGGTGTCTCACCCCTGCTCCAAACTTAACTATTCAAAACACTCTATTACGTTTCTAGAAGTACTACAGACGTGATCATAAAATGGTATCTATTCAGAGTTTCCATCCTTAAACTAAGTCAAAGCGCCCTTAAATGCTCTGACCCCCACCCCCAAGAAGAAACACTGTTGTGGCCTAACACCAATATGGTTTGAAATACTTTCCAGACCAGTGAGCTGTGCGATACCTTCAGAAATGGGATGACAAAAGGTCGCAGTGGGAAGTTAGTAGCTTCTTGCAGTTTGGAATGAAATTCTTCAATTGTCAAAGTAGAGTTCTGTGGGAGAAAAAACGTATTATAAGTACAGTTGTCTCTTGGTAAATAGTAAAAACACTGAAACTAATAAATTACTAATATTGTTACAACACAGTGTACTATCTGACAGACACATACAGGAAGCAGTGCTTTCAAATACACAACCCTTTGATCTTGTAAAAAAAAAAAAAGATCACTTTATATAGTCATCACCCACCTCCAAAAAACTCATCAGATAATGCAATGCATTAAATATGGCACCTTGAGAATAATGTGTAGGGACCTTCGCATAGTCTAATTGTCAGAGAAGTCTCTGCAGTTATGAAGAAACTTCTATGACTTTTATGGAAAACAAAGATACTTGGAGAGATTTAAAAGCGCAACCAAGCACTTAAAGGCCAAAGGCAAGTGTCAGAATCTCAATCCATCCAACGCGTCAGGTCTGTGTTACTGGTGGTAGGAATGTTCTTCTTCCGTCTTTCCATCTTGCAGGCTCTGTCTACCAAAGCATCCTGGTTCAGGGTGGGCAGCGAGGTTGGGTAGTGTGCGGACTAATAAAGCCCAAGAGAAAGTTTGCGAGTTCTCTGAGGCACTGAGGGTGAAAATGTTCCCCAGTTATCCAAAATACTCCATTTATCTTACAGGCAACAGGTACTGCTCAACCTAAATGAGACTGCACAGAATGACTTCAATTTACTCCTCGCCCACCCCGTATAAGCCAGGGCTTCTCTCCTGTGGTGGGCTAGACGTATGGAAAAAAAGCACCTCCTTAATAGACAACCAACCTATTATAAAGGGGTTGGGTAAGTTAACCCTATTTTGGTTCATCTGCCTCAGTCTCTGGGCAGAATGACAACTGTAAACTTCAGTCTCAACTTCCTCATTGCTTCAATTACCCTCCGGCCTGATGACCCGGGGCACTGGTGAAAGAACTCGTTAGGGTATTGCTCTGCCCACTTTTTTGAGCAGTTCCTCTTTGTTTTATGATAAAGCATGGGGGCACCAAATTCTAAGTTTTTATACCTCTAAGCTCAAAACATCTTCACGTGAAACTATGAATACACACTAACTTCCTACCTGTAACGACAGAGATCAGGAAGTCCAATTTTTATTTTTCATTTTCTTTCAATGGCATGTTTTCTAAAGCTGTTGCCAGTTGTTTTGTGCATGAAACCTGTTCTAACAGTTTTCCTCCATCTAAATATCACAGGCCTGTCACTACAGTTGGGCACCCCTGTATGTTTTACTTCTATAAACCTCAGTTTCCCCACATGTGAAATGTGTATAAAATCACTACCCGTAAGGGTAGTCCCAAGATTTAAATAAAATAGCACACATAAAAGCTTGCAAATGCTCCCCTCCCCCCCAAAAAAACTCTGTTCTCTATTAAAGTGCTGGTTGCCAAAAAGGAAAGGGGTGAGGAGATGAGCAAAATGGGTGAAGGGTAGGTGGGAGATACAGGTGTCCAGTTATGGAATGAAGAAGTCACAGGAATAAAAGGCACAGTACAGGGAATATAGTTAAGAATATTGTAACAGTGCCCTACAGAGGTAGATGGTAGCTATGCTCGTGGTGAGCACAGGACAACGTATAGAGAAGTTGAGTCACCACATTGTACACCCAAAACTAACATAACATTGTGTCAACTATATTCAAATAACTTTAAAAAAACAATTCTCTATCCATCCACTCACTTGACAAATATTCACTGCCTGTCTATTATGCAAAGTACTATTAACTAATGTCTTCCCCTGTCTTCCTAAGGTCTCAGAATAAATATGTATCTTAAAAAAAGTATTGCACTCAAAAGGGTGCTGTTTAGTATGTGGGAAAATCAACTTGAAGTTAACCAAATTTTTCTATATTTGAGGTCATGGAGACCACTGTTAGAGAACATACCCAATTCGTAAAGAGGTTTTCAAAAAAAACACTTTTTGTTTCCAAGAACATATTCACCATTTATGTGACACAACCACAGCTCTGGACTTAACTCCATGGCTCTTAGGTCTAACTGATTGGTGAGTTGCAAAAGCCTATGATGCAAAACTCACAAATGAAGAAAAAGGAAGAGGTAAGTGATTGACAATAGTAGCTGCAGCATGCTGACACACTTCTGGGGCAATCGCCTTCCTGTCCTGGAGGAAAGCGAGGTGGAGTTGGGAGATTGTGGGAAATGTGAGAAAACATTTTGGTCTTAGAGCGCAGAGTAGAGGGAGGTAAGAGTTAAAGAAGTGAATTGCAAAATCTCTGCCAAATGTGAGTTATTGTGATGTGAAGCCTGTCTACTGCTCTAGACTCTCACTCGGGCTTTAATTCCAGAGCTTCTTTTGCAAAAACACAACTGGTGGGGCTCTTCCCATGATAAGTCCACATAATAAAACTGGATGATCTATTTCAAGAAGAAAGGAAATTGGCACCTATCACCTGAACTTCAGTTCCACTGTAAGGGCTGAATATGTGACTCCCAGCTTTTCCACGACTCAGTTAGCGATGGGAAAACTGCTTTCCTAAGTGAAAAATCCTGGACTTGTACAGAAAATCACAGTATGTGTACAGTGATTTAGGACCCCCCTCCATGATGGATGCTCTAATTTCCAGGGTGATAATGTACAGAATGTAGAATCATGTGCCAAAATCAATGCTTCTATTTTCAGACTATGGTTTAAGTAAGTTTACCTATAACAAAAGAATTGTTGTTGTTTTAAACAATTAGTGGTTACCAGGGGTTGGGGGAGGGGAATACCGGGTCATTATTGTTTAATGGGTACAGAGCTTCAGTGTGGGGTGATGAAAAAGTTCTGAAGACGGATGGTGGGGACGGTTACACAACAATGTGAATGTACTTAATGCCACTGAACCTGTCCACTTGGAAATGGTTAAAATGGTCAATTTTAAGTTATGTATGTTTTAGCACAATAAAAATCTTCGAAAATGTTATTAGCCTCAAAAATGAAAACACATAGAAGAACGTGTTCCTGGTTATAAATCCTCGTTCACTAGACTGATAATAAAAAAAAAAAAATCCCTCAACACAACTATGTCAAAACGAGCATCCAATTAGATCAAGTGAATCATTAATATAACAAAAACATTTGTCATTGTGGAAAACCAGTAGTCCTGCCAAGAAGTTATACCTATGGAATTTTATACACACACACAGACACACAGACACACACACACACATTTATGGCTAAGAATCATAATAAATTTGCATAACCATATCTTTATGTAGTCAAACAATAAAAGAAACCACAGTGGGGGTAGGGGGAAGTCCATATATAATGCACACTTGAGAACCTTTTACTATAGAATTCTCAGACTTACATGCAATCTCCAGGAATAGAATATATTAGAACAAAATAGCTGAGAGAACAGTCTGTATTTTGAATCTCCCCCACACACTATCCCTCACCCCAGAAAATTGGGCTCATTTCCGTTTGCTTACCACCAGTCCTAGTACGAGGGTGCGGACTCTCTCTCCTATCTCTGGAGAAATGTCATTGCCAAACTGCTGCAGGGTAGTAAGGAACCGTTTCAGCTTACTGAGCTGCCTGGCGCCACAGGCTGGGGGCAGCTGTTGATTAGCCAGAGAAGAAGAGGAAGAAGAGGAAGGCCCATTGCTAAAGCCATTGGGCGGCGAGGGGGCGCCATTCAAGGCTGTGGGTGAATGGCTCGTGCCATTAGTTACTGTCAAGAGCACAAAATCAGAAAGAAAAAAAATAAATAAATTTACAGGGACTACGCACAAGGAAATTATAACCAAGCTCCATTCCCTTTAAATCCAGCGGATCTCATAGTTTAAGAACCATTGGGCCTTTGCTGTAAAAATACTCTGACTTCACAGAATTACCCCAGGTTCAGGTACTCTGTACCTAAGTGGGTCTAACTCCTCACAGTGCAGGAGGGTATTGTACACGGAAGCTGGTAATAAATGGGAGTCGGCTGTAACACAGGGACAGCCCTGCCTCCCATGTGCACATATGTCAACCACCTGAAATGTTTCAAACATAGAACAAACAGCACTTGGATGTCAGCCTTTTGTCACAGGCTTACATCAATATAACGGGACCATTCCTTTCTAAACTGTTCCCCTAGAGAAAGTGTACATTTGGTGGAGACTAAATTTATCACTGAACATTTTTAATCATGTTTTGTACACACAACTGACAGCTGTGTTTATAGAAATAGGACTTTCAAGTTTTAACCTTATACCACCCAATTAGAAGGCTATTTTCTCCCCCTCATATTTCTTAACCACTTCTTTAGGGAAAATGCAAATTTCATATACGAAGCCAAATGGATCTGGTAATTATCAAAGAGTTATTTCAAGAAATCGAAAAGGGACATCTCATTCCAGCCAGTAGCATGGATTGGTGGTAATTTGATAACTTTGTTTCTGATAAAATTTATTTGAACAGCAAGATAATTTCTAAGAACGAGGCTAGAAAATTTGGCACATTTCTCCCTGAAGAAAATGTTGATTTCATCATATTAAGTCAATTAATTCGACAAACTCATCTTCATCAACCCCATCTTTTTAATATAATTTTGACAGATCATCTCCCAACAGCAGTTTGAAGCTATCTTAAGCACTCTATTATTCTTAAAAGTTTCAAGATAATGAAATGGTCCCTTGTCCCAAGTAAGCGCCAAAGCAGCCTGTCTTGGAATGATTGCTCACTAGGACCTCTCACAGGAGACATATGCCTATCCCTGTGGCTTTGGGTAACAAACACACCAAATACAAGATGACAGGGTTACAACTTGGCACTGCGGCAGCCTCCTGTTCCTTACACGTTTGGAAAGGTCTTTTAAATGGCAGTGTGACGCTGCATAAACGGCCTGGGATGTGTATTTTGCCAATCCCTTCTAATCCCATGGATCTATCTGTTTTTGCCTCTGAGTCAGTCTTCATTCATATAGACTTCATGGCACGTGGTCTGTAAATAGCATTATCTGCAGCAGATAGCATTTATTGGTTTCACAAATCCTTTATGACAATTTTAACCAGGACTTTGAGATGGGCGAAAACAAAGCTTTCCACTCTCCCTACTGGATCATACAGGAAAGGAAGGGAAGTTGCTCTTCAGTCAGAATGTTCAGTCCTCTCCTTGGACAACCCAGAAAGCAAAACGCTCCACCGGTTCAGAACACGAGGCCTGAGCCGAGCTGGAATTGAGCAAAGGTTCAAAGACAAGAAAGATGCTCCTGATTTCAGAAAGTTTTCTGTATGTGACGGTTGCCTAGAGCGATACGTTCCCTTCTAACTTAAGGATGCTAGATTTGAGTCGCATTTGTAAATAAGAGGAGGAAGTGGTATTAGAAGATCAGAAGCAACCTGAAAATAACTGTAGAATATTAGCATGTTCCAAGTCAAAATGTACAAATCAAAGTCAGGAGCTACACATTAAATCAAACGAAAAGTTAAGGAGATAACAAATGGAGTCATGGACCAAATGGATGCAGTAGTCTTCACTGCAGAAATCAAAAGCAGACTACAACTGTGAAGCAAAAATGAAAAGGCAGCAAATATTGGCGGTCATACAAACTATGCCTAAGATGCTATTCATCTGCCCAGGCTCAATACCTACTCACTGGCAATTAAATGATTTGGTGTGTGGGGGTGGGGAGGGGAGGGGGGCGCTTACTTCTGCATACTACATTGACGCTGGGTCTTATCTTCCCTTAATTTTTATTTGCAGGGAAAAAAAATTAAGACTTCAAAATGGAAACAGGAAATGCAGAAATGCCTACTCACAAGTCGTCGGTGTAAATGAACTCGTTCTCGGAGCTCCTTGAGTTGTGGGGGGAGGTGGCATGGTGGGAGGAGTCAGCCTAGATGGGGTCTTCACATCCACAGGTGAGTCTGGCATCGTGGAGTGCTTCTCAGTCCGATCTGGAGGACGCCACCATGAACAGGTTATTTTATTCCTTAAGTACCTTTGCTTTTTTGTTTGTTTTTTTTAAGTAGGGTTCATCTTTTTTACAAGCAAGTGAACAGAAGAAACCTGACGTCTCCTATCAATAAAATAGGCTTATCTACTGAAGTTTAAATCAGGACTTTATCATCCAAACCCCACTTAAGAAGGTGTAGCACAGATGGCAGGACCTCATTTGTAACTGGGTTATTTTACGTCCTATTGTTATTTCTGGCTTGGGCAGATGCTACCTTGGTAGTGTTATATGCAACAGCACAACTTCACTCGAAGCTGAAGCCAACATTAGCAAGAGCTAAAAAATAGATGGGGAAGTAGAACAGTAATAAACCCTTTAGCTCAGAAATGACACAAATCTGAAGCTCTGTTATGCAGGTGAGATACTGGTAGGAGCCAGCATGTTGCAATGATTTTTTTCGGAACACCTGCCATTCCCTTTCCGTGCTTAGCTTCTGGCCTGTTAGGTGAAGCAGGTCATGTCTCCCAGATACACCTCTCACTTCAATGTTTCTCTGCCCTGTTTGAAAAAATCATGACATAAAGGCTGTACTTCACACAATGAAGATAAACTATTATTTATTCAGAATTTGTTAAGTTTACGACCCACGATTTAAAAACATGAGATCAACACTTCAATTAATAATCTCACACAGAGTAAGAATGGAAAAATCCCCAAATTGAGAGCTAAAAAGAACTAAAGTCCCTCCCTATATTTTTTCATGAGTGTGTGACAGATATGGAGAAATTTCCTGATTACTCAATAATGAACATTTGAGCTTCAGGACTGTTTCCTCTGAAGCATACTTTTCCTTTGATATTGTGAACTGGTTTTTTGTCAGTCCAATCTATTTATCAAAGCGACAGCCCTCCAATTAAAAAAAAAAAAAGTGGGTTTTTTTTATTTTTTTAATTTTTTGTTTGCTTCTTTAGATCCACTTTTCTACAAACATTGTATGCCTGAGTGCGTGCGCACCCCCCCCCCCAAAAAAATGTCTGAGGTACCTCTAATAGTCTCAAGCACAGATATTTCCCACTTGGACTTTTTGAAAAGTAAAGTAACACAGACTATTGATCAAGAATGAGTCTTTTAAAACATTCTGATAACCATAGGGAGAAATTCTCAAAAATTACTTACACGTCTGTTTAAAAAAAAAAAAAAAATGAAAGATCCAAATGACTACTCTGGCAATTCCAAACCTAGCTCACACTTTCATTCCAGAGCCAACTCATAAGACTTGGGTTGCCATAGACCAGACATTTTAAAGTTGCAATAATGCTAATACTGTATTAGGAAAAAAATGTGATTAGAAGAATGACAATACAATCATCGTCCTACAAAGAGCACTCTGATAACCTAGGACCAGGGTCCCAAATACTTCATCTCGACTGCTGGCTGAGTAACAACTAATGCCCCTCAGTAAGTAAGTGTTCTGAGCGACAGGATGGTAAAAAACACACAATGAAGAGAGCATTTCTACCACCATCTTCCTGTTCAAAACTCGTCTTCATCTCGCTTCGTCAGAGCATCTTACCCCCAGAGTCATAAAAATCACTCATTCTAGAAGCATACAGAAGTTAGGCAGGTCTAAAATTGCTTCTTCGACAATAAAAAAAAAAATCACTGCCCAGTCTACTCACCTCAACCAACCTCAGCAACAAGGGAATAAATAGCTTTCCGCTTATGTTGCAGCTGAGGGAAGAGGTACGGCAGCGAATACAAGTCTCCCTAAATAAAGGCAAATATTTCTGTCATGCCAGGGAAGGAGGGATGGAGGGAGGCTTGCCAGAGTCGGCTGGGAGATAACAGTGGGAACTGCTGGTCCATCTGGTTTTCATTCTGCTAACACTCACGCCGAACTGTTAGAGAAGGCAGTCCAGATACACAGATTTGAAGCACGTGGTTGCACAGAGAAAGAGGAAGAGCAGGAGGGGGCAGGGGGAGTGGGAATAATGACAAAATAAATAAATAAAGCGATGGGAGGAAGAAGGGAGAGAGGAAAGACCAAAACAGGGAGAAAAGTGCCTACGTGGGGGGAAAGTTACTCTCGATGGCTTGGTCGACCCCAGAAAGCTGAGCTTTGGTGGGTACAGCCCCTACACCTGACTTACCTTGATGCACGTCTCGAGCAAAACCTCAACCTCCATACGTATCGTAAACCCTGCTCTGCTTTATTCTGTTTGCTGACACTAAGAAAAAAAGGGGGATAGACTACAAAATTGAATTAAAAAGATTTCCTCTTCAAAGTCGGATGATCTTAATAATAGTAACAACAACAACAATAAAAGGTGGATGAGTGTTTTTGTTTTTTTTTTTTAATCCTTGAAATGAAATCAATCCTTGAACAATAACCACTGAGCCAAGAAATTAGCAAAAACACCACTGCTCCTAGCAGGAATATATACGTTCTAACTGGAATATATGGATATGTGTATATATATATACTTAGGATTTTTGACTTTAGCCAGATTTCTGCGATGGTTAGCTTCACTCTGATCAAATGGAGTTCCAACCCAGAGGTCCTACAAACTTAGACAAAGTGAGACCATATGTAACTCATTCTGTGCTGTTCAGTGCAATCAATCCAGGCGGGGATCGATGGTGAAGTAACCAGCCAGGCCTAACCCGTACACACACACACACACACACACACACACACACACACACCCTCTGGAGTAGAGAGATTTAAGATAAATTCAGAAAATGTGTTTCAAGTATGCTGAGTTCTGTTGCATTTGTTTTGGATTACTTAAAAAAAAAAGAAAAGAAAAAAGAAAAGAAACATTTTGAAACATATATTCTTGAAACTTTTATAGCAAACAGCAAAAGAGCTATGATTCAACCACAGAAGTATTTCACTCCACTTCAAATTAGAGGACACAGTAAAACCGATATTAAGTTAGAATATTTCTTATGCAATTTTTTAAGTTTATGAAAATTACACCGTTCTTAGGCGTAATTTCTATTTTTAGTTGCTGCAGGGGAATGCTGACATTTATTGAAAGACATAAAATGATAAAAAAGAAAAAAAAAAACGTAGGAAGGAAAACAATCTCTATCAGAGCAGGAAGGTAGGTACAGCCAAAAGGACTGACTTTACTTTTTCTACCTTAACGAATTCACACCGCTTCTAAATAAAGATCTCCCCTATGCGGTAACATTTCGACTCACATGGCAAATATCCAACACATATGTACCAAAGATGGCTGAAACATGGAAGAAAATGTGGCGTATATAAATACATTACTGATACCATTTCAATATCCAATTCAGTGTCAAGGCCTTCTAGAAGTGGTATGTTTTCCATTTCCTTTTTCTTTTCTTTCTTTTTTTTTCTTAAAGTGAAAAGAAAAGGTATAGCATAATCTGCCACAGCACTTATTTTACTTTTAGTTAGTTCAAACAGTTCCAGATGTGTTTTTAATGTACGAAGACTAGGCATTCTGTATTTTCCCAGTTTACCTACTAGCCTAGAGATGATTAGTGCAAATAGGAAGGGCAGGGTTGGTAGACAGAGCATCTTTTTCTCTCCCAGTTCATCATGTCAATTAAAACAGAAGAACGAGCTATGTCCCAGGGATGTTATGGATTGAGAAACCTCTTGGCAAATTGGGGGTCAGTGCAGAGTGAGTCTGCTCTGAGTAAGTGCCCGCTACAGGAGCTAGATGTTCAATAACAGGAGTAAGCCCAAGCAGAAGTGATACTACTCCCGAAAAGGAGAAGGCAGTTGGGGAGGCACAGAACTGGGTACGGAATTTGATTCTTATTTCTATGGAAAATACAGCAAATATGGGCCTGGCAACAGAATCATTTAGTGACGCCAGCATCTGGGGGCGAGATGCTACAGGAGACCGTCTGCAGACCAGAATGGTGGCCATCCAGCCTCCAAGAGGCTCCCATCTCATTTCCCCACTGAGCACTTCTGGAATGTTCATTGCTGCTCAGAACCCTTGAGTAACACCTGAGAATGAAAGTCAAATGCTAACACTTTGAACATGCTTGGGATGATACAATGGAAGACTATTTGGAATAATAGTCCAATTTCCAAGTTAGGTAGAATGTTTCAAGTGTAGACTCAACCATCAGTAGTAGGTCCTCAGGCACGTTATCCTGAGCTTCAGCCCCTCATAAGAATAGGGATGTAATCCTGTCTGCCTCATCAGGACCCTGACACAGTGCCTACTCATGCCAAGCACCAACACGTGTGCTCTCTCTTCCCCTGTGCCTGCCTCTCTGTGAGCCATTCATGGCTTTATTTCCAACGTCTTTCCCCCAAGTCTATGCTCCATCTCTACAGGGCACCTTGGCATTCACTGGTTTTTCCACCTCTCTTTTTGTGCTGTTGTTTCCTTCATCTGGGGGATCTGCTCTGTCTATCCCATTCTTCACTGCCCATTACAGATCCGCGTACAGTTCTTTTCAGGTGCCCTGAGCACCAACTATATCATATTTGCTCGGCCTTTCTTTTAGCAACTACCACAGCCTATGTGTGGGGTCATTGTGTGTCTGCCGTATGTGCATGTGTTATGCACCCAATCACCCCAACCAGGGAAAACAAACTTGATGGCATTTCTGTTTAATGCTTCATTTGAAAGATAAACACACAACCATCAACAGCACATAAATATATGATTAGAAAATGGACTGTAGGTAACATGGGAAGATGCTGGGGACCTGAAATTTAGTTCAAATCTGTGATCAACTTACGTGGTTTTAGGCAAGGGTTAAGAATGATCTGTTACCTCCTGTCTTATCATAGGTGTTTAATGACTTTTTTTTTCTGAAACAAAAATATGATCTTATCCATTCCGTGATTTAAAACCTTTGGGACTGAGTGGCCTGTTGTTGTTAGCTCATGTCACAGATACTGTTGAGTTCCTACTGTTGAGTTCCTCCTTCTCCCTTTCTTGCTTGCTGGAAAGTCCTGATTTTGTTCAGGTGCACAATTCTTGGGGAGCAGAT